GGACAGTCTGGAGGCATTTTAATGGCAATACTCCCCCAGCAACAACTTTCTCCCTATTCTTGGCAACTCAAACCCATCACACATGCCAGGCCAATTCAGATGACAAATCCCTGGAAATAACAGAGCCCATGTCATTAGCTGGATAGATTTTCAAAAATATTGTTGTGACAGTAAACTGTAGTAGGTGATTTTTAAACACCAGGATAAATAAAAGTGTTCTTAATCTAATACCAAGTTACATTTCTAAACCTTTTTTTTTAAAAAAGATTATGTCAAGAATAGCCTCTGGAAGGCTTAGGGAAAAAATAAAAAAGAAAAAAGAATAGCCATGAAACTAGAATTTGTTTAAAATCAAAGTGCTTATTTATATTTTCCTACAATCCAGAAACTTTCCATTATTTCTTTAGGACACAGCTTGGTAAGGTTTTCTGGTGGTCTTTGCAGGTAATGAATGTGGGAGCCTCAGTGACCACAAATAGCCAGTGAAAATGGGAGAAACATACTCAAGTGTTTTCTGTACAGCAGAGGCACAGAATATGTGCATTTATTTCAAGTGAAATAAACTGTTGGTGCTGGTTGGGGATGGGGCCTGCGGGTGATCAGACTGTCACTGAGAAATGACCAGAGACAAGAGATGGCAGCTTGTGGCACTAGGGCTAACAGGGTTACCTTAAGGTTGGGCTAGGCTTGGAAGCAGTAAGAGACCTGGGTAGGTCCTACTCACCTGGCGCCCTGGCTGGGGACTCCCCACTTGGCCCTGCTCCCTGCCTCAGCCCTTGGGAATGGGTGGATGGAAGCAGGCATGAGCAATAGCAGCCTTCCCGCTCTCCGCCCCAGAGGACATCTTGCTGGGCTGACGGGAGCCAGAATGCCAGCAAAAGTGAGGGAAAGCATGTCCCACCTCACACCACCTAGATCTCTTTCAGGTTTATAGGAAGGCTGGGAGAGAAATACAAAGCTGTAGTCGCATACTCCAGTGCTTGTCCAGTCCGGGCTAGGAATGTCCATATCCTGTCTTGGGCACGGCTGGGCATGGCTTCCATGTGACCACTCCGACCAAGGAATACACAACTAGATGGACAGTGCCTGAAAACTACTTGTTAACTGACCAATGTTGAAAGGGCAGCAGAGACAGCTCAATAACTCAATAACTATATATGGTTTAGTTAATTTTTTCTTTTTTTTTTTTTTGAGACAGAGTCTCACTGTGTTGCCCGGGCTAGAGTG